TGCCCCCAGCGCCCCGTTTCCCTGCCCCATCCTCCCTCCCGTGCCCCCAGCGCCCCCTTTCCCTGCCCCATCCTCCCTCTTTTCCCTCCCCTCAGCGCCCCTTTCCCTGCCCCATCCTCCCTCCCTCCCGTGTCCCCAGCGCCCTTTCCCTGCCCCATCCTCCCTCCCTCCCTCCCGTGCCCCCAGCACCCCCTCTCCCTGCCCCATCCTCCCACACGTGGTTCCTCTGCCCCCCCACCTGTGTTCCTGCAGCTTCCTCCCTTCCCTGCTTCTCCATCCTCCCCTCCCCCCCAGTTCTCCATCCTCCCCCCGCACTCAGCTCACCCGGACCCGGAGCGGCGGGATTTTCCTTCACATCTGTCCGTCCCCGCGGCGGCCGCTCACAGGAGTTTGCCTCCAACTCCTGATCCGCTTCCAAAGCGGCCCCGCTGGGCCGAGGGACCCACCGCCTCTCGCCCGCCAGCAGCCGGGCTGCCTGTGCCCCAGGAAGGTCGGGAGCCAGCGATCCGCGCTGCCCACGCCGCTGCCCCTGGGCTGCGAGTGCGGCTCCCTCACTCCGGTGCCGCCGCTCGCCGCATCCTGCTGCCGAGCCCTCGCTCACACCGACCCCTAGGGGAAAGCATCTGGCAGCGCAGGCAGCCCGGCCGGCCCTGCCCTGGGGCAGCCGTGGAGGGTGGAAATACCTGCCCGCCGCTAGGGAGCCAGCCGGGGCAGAGCAGCGAGAGAAACCTTAGCCGCAACCACGGCGAGCGGGGAGCCAGTCGGAGCTCAGCCGCCGCTGTGACTGGCTCGGCCAGGGGGCGGGGTGCTTGGCTCCGGCTGGCGTGTGGGACTTGCAGAGAGAGAAAGGAGGTTCCCGCCTGTTTGTCCAGGAGAGGGGCATCGCCAGGTTAAACTTGGAGCCTGACATTTGCAAACCCGCCTGCCGAACTTCCTCAAACCCTGGGTCCTGCAGCCAGACAAAAGGCCGCTGGACTGTCATGGGGGCTGCTTGGCTCCTCTGCAAATCAGGCCTCTTTGAGGTGCCTAAATATGGGTTTGGGAGGCTGCCTTTGCAAATGTTATCCCACATCTTTAAACACTGCCCCCCCCCCCCCCCCCCACCCACACACCCCCCTCTCAATTCAAGAAAACCTTACAGGCAGGCTCTTCCTTTTTCTTCACCCACTGAAGTCATTGTCCTGTTTGCACAGCCTAAAGTTAAGCCCAGGAGTAAGGCCTTGCAGGATCTGGGCCTGGCAGCTGGGTTACCAACACTATTATAGATTAGTGAGTCTGAAATCCTGCCTTATACAGTTCCCCACCTGTGGAGCAAGGCTGCTGCTCCAAGAAGCATGCCCACCAGATAAGACCCGAAGCACAAATGGACCAGGAATTTTTACAAATCCAATTTGCTTCCCCCTGCTCATGCTCACCCCATTCAAGACCCACTTAAAACTCTGACCCTTTGGAGTGGAATCTCACTAATACCCTAAACTACCCCTGTCTCTGTTTGTCCTAGTATGTTTTTCCTTCCAAGTGTCTCTGGCCTATGGTTCCAGTTCTGCAGTCAGATCCAGATACACACATTCTGACACCCATGCAAAGTCCCATAGACTTCAGTGAAGCCACTGGTACGGATCCAATTACAGCATCAGGGCCTTAGATTGTAATAAGCAGGGGCTGTCTTTATGTATGTTTTATACAGATTATCAACACAAAGCAATAATAATGACCATTAATAAACAAGATTTAATGTGCCTGTTTTCTCAATGCACTTTCAGTCAACCTGGTCATTAAACACAGATCAGTTCCTTTTACTTTTTGTTTCCAGTTTCAAGTGGTGAGTTGCACTTGAGGGCTTTCATGCACTAACATGCCCTTGAAATATTTAGCTTGCAAACACTTTTGTTCATTTGATTTCTGGTAAAATTTATTTTTTAATAGAAACATTTGTAATAGTTGTAAGTTTTACACAACTTTAATGAACCCTCACTTTGGGGCCAGATTTAACCCAAAAGTCTGTGCTCCTGCTGACCTCAAAGGGAGTTGAGAGCACTCACAGCCTCACAGGATTGGGCCCAAGTTTTCCAAACAGTATAAAGTATAAGCCAGACCTTCCCTGGAGACAGCGCATACCACAGTCTGTTTGCAAACACACAAGTGCTGCCTAGTATCACTCTCCCTCACCTGATCCTGACTGATCCCCTTGGAATAGGGCACATGCCAGGAGGGTGGAGGGGCTGGAATGGATGAACTCTAATGGAACTCAGCAGGAAAACCTGCAAACAACCAGACCCAGGGAACAGTAACTCATGACCAGCTGCACCTGCAAGGGCAAACCTCCTGGCATTACCACGTGAAGCAAGAGCAGTGTTTGTTTCGGAAACAGCTGACTTGACAGTTCCAGGACCCCTCTAATGACACCCATGCTGAGACCAGATGAAAGACCATGGCCACTAGAATGGCTCAGCATTGTCAATTCGAACCCTGCTCCATACAGGAGTGGACGTGGGGTGGCCTGTGGGTTGAATGCCATTCCCCGGGTTCTGGAATGTAGCCTGCAGCTGACCTGGTCTTTAATACACAAAGCATGGCCCTTGAAACTTTACATGCAGTGCTCCATCTTGATGCATAAGGAAGGGTTGTTTGGATCAAGGTAGCACATTGCATGCCAGGACATGTAGTCTCCAGGGGTCACACGATTTTATACAAATTAAAGTTGATCCCTTGGGCTTCTGGAAGTTGCTAATGCGTGGCTCCCAGCTAGGCAAAGTTTGGGCATGCCCAATATAAGATGAGCTGGCTTCAGTCTCATGGGACAGAAAGTTTGTTTGTAGGAATCTTTCCAAGCCAGTTGGAAGAGGTGGCTGCTGGGACTTCTGTAAGGTTTCAGTAATGGCCTTTTCCTCTGTTGCTGTCATGACCTGACCCTATCTTGATGCATCCAGGCAGGGAGGAGGAAAGGAGGAATTTAACCACAGTGTCCCTGATTTTTCTCTGTTAAAACAAGATAACATCCATCTACTTTTGCCATGGAGAAAATTTAGCAGCAGATCTACACCACCTAGTGGTGATGGAAACCGTTGAATGTGAAATCCTTAGGAAAGGACTTTGTGTGCTGTAGCATTCAGCCTAATATCCCAGGTTTCTTTGGAAATCAGGGGCTTACAGCCATCCATTTCTGAACCTGGCACATAGGGAGGCTGGGAGGGGGAAGATGGAAGCATCAGGCCTGTTATGGTCATGAGACAGACTGATGTCAATTCAGGGGAGTTCCTGTCAACACCCAGCGTGGCATTGTTTATCTGCCTCGGAGGCATTTTTAGTGGGTCCATCACCATTGTGTCTTGGCACATGCTTCACAAATTTAAAAGCATTAATGAAGTCAGGAAGAGCTGAGAACCCCAGGGGCCAGACAGGTTGCTGGTGTGAACTAGCCCAAATCCACAGAAGCCAATGAAGTTGTACCAGTTTACGCCAACAGGGAATTTAGCCCCAGATCCAATTCACTCAAGATGCACTGATCAGAGTGATAGAGGGCATGTGAATCAGGCAGGCATGTGTTTTGTACGCGTGGTGGTGTCTGCATCCTGGAGTCGGTGAGTGTCCCCTAGGTAATTGGGCCGTGTGAGGGTTGGTCTACACTAGATTAGATGGACCCAGTTACAGCTCTCAGGGGTGTGAAAAATTCGTGACGTAGTTAAGGCAACCTAACTCCCCCTGTAGACATTGCTAGGTCAACAGAAAAAATCTTCCCTCCCATTGGCATAGGTAACGTCTATACTAGCTGTGCCACTATAGCATTCAAGTGTAGACAAGCCCTGAGGCTGGTCTGTGCACTGGCATCTGTGTAAGTGGATTTGGCCCCCGGCTTGTTTGTGGATGTTGGACATGTGAGATCCCCCGGACCACCAACGTCAGTGTGTGTGACCGGGCTGGAGCGGGGAGCATTTATCTCACCTCGCTTGGCTGATGAGGAGTGGGATAAATTTAGCCTTTGTCTTTCCAGGGAAGCAACACTGATGAATGGACAAGATGGATATCAGCTTTCCTTGCGGCAAACATATGCTGTTAAAAATAGTGCCAAGGACACCAGGAGCAGGCGCTGATGTAGCAAAACAGGCCTGGGAAGGTGAGAGCTCAGCATCACATTAACCTGCCAGCTAGGGATGAACTTGAGTAGCCCCTCGGCTGGTAGGGGTGCCTGCCAGCAGAGGAAGAAGAGCTCAGCAGTATCTGATGCTCAAGTAAGATTCTGCTCAGCAACCCTCCTCACAGCACACATGCACCCCATGCCAGCAAGCCAGTGCCCTCATCTCTCACACAAACACTTCTATAATCCCCTCCCCGTGGCTGGAAACCCTGACCCCATTTCCCCACCCCGATGCACAAACACTCCTATAATGCCCTCCCCTTGGCCCGAACTCCCCACCCCACAACCTGCCGAGCCCAGCGCTAAATAAAAACACCTGCACTTCCCTTTGTAGGAGAGTGGAGATTGAAGAGCAGATCAGACAAGCTGTCGGAGCTCCACCCCTATTGATTCCAGCTGGAGAGAGAGGACATTTAGTTGGCCACATGCAGAAGTCTCAGGATGAATACTGACATTTCTCCTAAAATATTCCATGGAGATTTTCAGAGGCCTAAAGAACGTAAGTTCTCTGCCCTGCGCTATGCAGGACATCAGACCAGATGATCAGAATGATCCCTTCTGACCTGAAAAATCTCTGGGGGAAAACCTGGCCCCCATTGAATCAATGGAAAAAACTCATTGACTTCAACTGGGTCAGGATTTCACCCTAGGAATCCAGGAAATAGTACTGACCCAGATGAACAGCACCAAGCAGCATCTGCATGGGAGTTAGTATTGGATCCAGTATTTAACAAGGAGCATAACATAATCACAGGGGCCAGGCTCTGTACCCCTCTAGCCCACCTTCCCCTTTTGGGGCTTCTCCTGCCCCTATTCATCTTGATGGACAAATTGGAGCACCACTGATGAAGACCCCACAATTGATCTACACTCGATGGGGTGAGGAATCCTCACTTGCCAAAGCCTCTCTGCACCAGGCCAGGGTAAATGGAGTGACCTCTCCTGCCATCCTCTGGGCAGAGCATCTTCATTAACCCCATTCGATTTGGTCCACATACCATGTGCCAGAATTTTATGTCCCCACACTGACCTTTACCTGCTACTGGGTCCCATGTCTGGACTAGAGCCATGGCCCAGAACCCAGCTGCGACAAGGGAAGCTGACTTTTTCCGAGGGAGAACACCAAACCAGACATGCTGCCCCCAAGCTGCCCAGATGCAAGCATCCCAATTCTCAGAGCAGGGAGAGATCTCTTTTCTCTCTGTGCTATTACAGCAGTGTGGGCCAAGGGCAGTCGCGCAAGATTAATTTCAGCAGGGCGGGAAGAACTGTCCCTTAAAGTCATAGACCTGATTCAGCAAGGTACCTGAGCACGTGAGCAGTCCCATTGACTTCCGTAGGGTTACAGTCTGGGTGACAATGGGAGCACTCATGCTTAGCCAGGTACATGTTTCCTGAGTTTGCACCAGAAGCGTCGAGTGCCTGGTGCAGGAAAGTGTTGAGTTTAAGATTAATATTCTCCAACCTCCCATAGAATGCCACGCACTGGGTTTGGACAAGGAGCACAGAGGTTAGAAAACCCCAGGTAGGCTGCATGTCCCTTGAACTTAGCACT